GTAAATCACGGCGCATAATAGCCCAATATTTTCTCGAACAAATCAAACATCGTACATTTGTTTTGTACTGGTTNAAATAAATTTTTTTTTTAGAAAGCTTACCGAGTTTTAGAAAAAGTAACGATTTTATTCGACATTTCCGTTACAAATACTTGTACTTTTTCCCGAAAAAAGTAACGAAAGTACAAGTAAAAGTACTAAATTTAAAATAAAAAGTAACGAAGTACAAGTAAAAGTACGTACTTTTTACTTGTACCGGAGGTACAAGTAACGAAAGTAAAAGTACTGCCATATATGCTATAGACACATTATTTATGTTATCTTCCTTGATTTCCACAACTTATTTTTTCAGTTTATTGCTTGTTAAATCACGGCGCATAATAGCCCAATGTTTTCTCGAACAAATCAAACATCGTACATTTGTTTTGTACTGGTTAGCTGCGTGTCCAATCTTAAACATTCATCTTTTCTCAGGATTTCAGCATTCTTTTTATCTAAAGATATCTTGTTGGCCACAAAGCAATTTCGGCTTTCATGGTTTTTATCACAGAATAGGCAATAGTCTTGCTTAGGAGTCTTTTTATGACCTGAGAATAAATCATTCGCAGTCGGCACAAAATCTTCACTTTGGTACCTTTTATCCCGTCTAATTTTTTTCTTGGTACTAAAATCCAACAATCTGAAACCAGTTTCAGCTGAAGATATTCATTGCTCTCCCTCGACTTTATTTCTAAGCAACAATAACAACTGCTTCTACTTTTTAGAGTAAAACTTTTCTACGATTGCAACTGAAAACTGATTTCTCACCCAAACTTTTAAAATAACTTCCGGAATACAAGATTCAACGAGAGGAAGCAATACAGCTGCGCATTTATGGCTAGCCATTTTTATTGATTCTAACAACCGCAAATATGACTCTAATTTATCGTATAATTCAGATATGCAGTATTTTCTTTTGAATACAGTCACATTTTTAATAATCAAACCCAAAAGCTTCCTAATATTTTTTTTAATGGCGGGCTCTTGAGGTTTGTCCCATTGGCCACAGAAATGCCAGAACTGCTACTCTTTTCACGTTACCCAGTGGGCACCTGTGGCGAAGCCACGGCGGTAGAGCAGCGTAGTCCATGTAACATAACCGCAAACCCGTTTATAGGGCGGGTCACATTCACACATTCGCACACAAAGGAGAAAGGACAAAGAACACAGAGAGAGAAAGAAACATCCATGCCCTGAGCAGGATTCGAACCCGCGGCCAATGGCTTCGCAGTCAGACGCGCTAGTCACTCGGCCACCCGGTCGGCAGCTTCCTATTATAGGAGTCCACTAATAACTCTTCTCGCACAAATCTGTTTTTTTTTTTAACTTTCTTTTGCCTTTTCATAATTTTCAGCAGTTTCTGGAAAACTATTGACAATATCGCATGGTCTTGTACCAGATATTGTGGCTTGTGTAGTGTTCATTTATTTTATTTTATAGGCGTCGTTAAACAGCCGATCCAATTTTGGGTTTAGCTTTAGGTCACTAGATAAAAAAAAAACATGTTTTTAGAAGTTCAAAATGGAGATTAACAATGTTCAGTATCATTTGACATAATAGAATGCCTGCTAGTGGTGTGGGTATCTCGATCCTGATTGGTTGTTGAAACGTGGCATTTGTTTACGCTAGCAGCTGTTCTTTCCCTTCTATTTCAAGTTAGCCAAGCCTGTCAAGTATCAATTCTCTTAAGTAACACATTCTATATTCTTTCACAAAGATTATTTCAATAAGATTTCAATTCTTTCATTGCTATATATTTCTTGCTTAACACAAGGACAGGCTTGAAACCATGCGAAATAGAAAGAAGCGAGTTATGCATCGAAGTTGCCAGATTCACAAAATAAAAAAATATCATGGTTACAATAAAATGCATAAACAAATAATAAATCTAAGTTAAGTAAAAGTCATTGGTGAAAATTTTTTTTCATTTCAATAAATTTGATAGGCGATATGGCATTGTATTTAACTAACTTCATGTCAAATATCATTCTAACTAGTGTAAACAAACTTAGCTCAACTTTGACAAACAATTTTGAGTATAAGCGCTCAACTGGTGCTGACTTCATAGGTCACATGTGTGGACATCATTGATATTCTTCTTGAAGTGCAATCACCCAATTCTATTGCTCGAAACCAACTCCTAATAGACAAAAAAAAAACAATGCTTTTTTCCGCTACTTTATGCCATTCGGTAGACTGTAAAAAACTTATTTCTCCAGTATTTATAGTTGGTATCGTGGTACGTACATATTGTGATTTATAGCACATATTAAAACAACATCAAGTAAAATAGTATCAATAATGCTATTATCAAAAGTTTTTCTATTTTTCGATTATTATTTTACAATTGAAAATAATAAGGGACTCCTCAACAATCGTTAAGATGTGCAAGCATGCTTAAAATATTAAGTGTAAAATCCGAAGTGATAAGCGTACTTATATATTTGACAAAACTAATGACTACTTTTTCATGAAAATCGGTATGGCTCAACGGAGACAGATTAAGTCTACACATGAACGAATAACAAAGTTTTTCTATTTTTCGATTATTATTTTTCAATTGAAAATAATAAGGGACTCCTCAACAATCGTTAAGATGTGCACGCACGCTTAAAATATTAAGTGTAAAATCCGAAGTGATAAGCGTACTTATATAATTGACAAAACTAATGACTACTTTTTCATGAAAATCGGCATGGCTCAACGGAGATAGATTAAGTCTACACATAAACGAATAACATAGAGATAGTTCAAGTTTATTTTGCTCTCTTTCAGCTACGATTGCAGTGCTGATGTAAATTATTTTGGCAGAAACATAGCCGAACTTCATTGGCATCGTGCTAACCATGTGAGGGTTTTCGTGGCTATTACCTCCATTTTGAGGAAATGTTGATAAGTTTCACTTAGAAGAATTCTATTTGAAAGTAAATGTGAACGTGCTCTGTGGTGATTGCTTGTCTTCTAGATTCCAGCCTCAGAAGTTGAAAATGAAGAACAAGTTGCATACGCATTGAGTGGATTGGTGTTCAACGGCGAAAATTCTTGAAGTGGTAACCTAAATTATGAAGAAAAATGAGAGTCTCGTAACTTATCATGGGTGCGATTGCCACCATAGAAAAATACCAAAAACTGTTTTTTAATCATTTTTAGGAATTAAAGTGTTATTTTTAATTCTTAAAAATGAAACAGCTTTTTTTAAAAAAAGAAAATTTAATGAAAAATTGAAAATAATTTATGTGTTGCAACTTTTATACATAGATATTGCTTGTATTAGCACTAATAAAAATATTTTATTTCAGAAATATCTTTAGATGTAACCAAATGACGCAACATTTTTACCCCAATCAGTGCTATTTAAAAGAAAGTTTCTTTTTAAAATCAAAAATTACCGAATTCTAGCAAATTGAAGTGATATATTTCTACTAGTAAAACATGTGCTTCACTCTGCCTCTGAATTGTTTCTTGATTGTTTTTTGGACTAGATAAAATTTAATGCCAGTTTGTTTCCAATTAAGTTTGTTAAGTTAAATAACCAAACGAATACAAAGAACTTCATAAATTCAATTAAATATAATGAAAGAAAACGATAAATTCATGAATCTAACTAGTAGTTAAGCTTTTTGACACAGCGTGGAGCTAAAATTACTTGAGTTAGCATTTGTTTGTGCCGCGCGATGAAAAAAAATTTTTTTTTTCTAAACTATATTTAGTTTTATAAGTCGCATTCAACTTGTCACATATTTGCTTGTTTTAATTTTTGTGGATTTCGCTATCTCTTATCAAATTCACTTATTTCCCACTCAGTTTTTATTGATAAAAATCGAGTGCTAATATGTCATGTAAACCGGAGAAAGAAATTAAATAATTTTCTTACAATATTACAAATTTAATACCATTTTAAGTAATATTAAGTTATTGCTTTAAATATAGTTTTAAATGCATAGTATTTTAACTGACTCAAAATAAACTAGTGGGCTCTACATCCTTTTCGATAATGTTCGCTAACTCCTAAAGATTACTATGATAGACCTTTGTATTGTAAGACCTTTGATATAGTAACATTTAATATTTTCAAACGTTCATCTCTGTTACTATGGCTTCCTTTTTTATTTTATTTACTACACGATATCTTTTAATGACTCTTGATATAGCGAGTGGATATACGAGTAACTGGAATGAGGAAAGAAATGGTCGAATCATTTTGCATATGAATGAAAAAGAATTTATAAGCCTATTATTTGTATTAGGACAATAAAATGGCGAATTTTTTTTACCAATTATTTATGGAGTGGAAAGGGAGAATTAAAAGACTCTGATCAAAAACTGTCTTTTTAAAATAATAAATAAAATATCCAAACCACTTTTAAAGATTTTATATATAATTTTAAGCAAAAATGGCTCTATCGTTAACTTTTTGTATACTACATCAAACTATATACATACGGTATAGCACAAAACCAACATGACAAATAACAACATCGTCATATCAATTAGTAAAGAAATTCGAAAACAGTGCCTTTTAAAAATCTATTTAATAAATAAGCACTATTTTGTACAATGACCCCGTTGACTTTTAAAAACACGCATTCGTGAGAGATACTTTAACCCATTAAACATAATGAATGGTTTTAAAAGATATTGTCATTCCCTTGTAACAATACTCAAACAGTTTGTTTGAAGGAAGTTAATAAGTTAATCAAATTCCTCTCACGAAATTCATCTTTAATGCATAAGCATTTTCTGAAACCATCAATTAAGAAAGTCTTCAAAAGAAAACCAGAGGAAATTCACTTTTTAAGTCAATCCATCATGATTATTTGCAGAAGCTTGTCAACATCACCTCCTCATGATTCACGTTATGTCGACATTTCGGGGAACGCCTACTGTCCCACCTTTATGACACAAAGCCAATGATAGCAAAACCACTACGCGCAAGCACCGCCTCTATTTGCAAGAGCCACAAATCGTTCGGAAAATCGTCAGTAGAAAAAAAGGGGGAGAATTTAGTGGAATTGCTTTGGAGTGATAGTAAGGGGTTGTTAATATTGAAAATGTTACCGTTCGAGAAAACATACGGTTTCGACGTTTTGCCTGGGATTTTGTTTGGCATGCCGAGGGTGGTCGGGGATCAAAAAACTAAATTTGAATCCGATGAATTATTCAAGAAGCTTAGTAGAGAAAGTGAGGTGAGTTTTTTAATGAAATATATTTATTACAGTATTAAAAAAAATTAATGAATTAAATAAAATAAAAATTTTGAAACTATGTATTCCATATAGACGGCAAAAGATTAAAAAAAAATTGACAGATCTAATACGTAAGACGCATCACTTTCGAATGACGTGGAAGAGTTTTCGGAGATGATAGATGTTTCTTCCGCCCTACGTTTCCTTCTTACATCCGTCAAAAATAAATTATTTTCACATTTTTAGTTATTTCGAAAACGTTTCTTTTTATTACTTAGATTTTTTGTTATTAAATTATATTGAAAAGTAGCCATAATTTCTATTTTTGGTAAAATGTCGATATAAACTGTTTTTGGGATCGAGAAACGATTGCAACTAGTATTGTCATCCTCATGGCAAAGCTGCGGTTAAATTTTGAACATTCTAATAAGTGGGAATTTTCAATGACGAAAAATTCTGCTCGTAAAGTTTAGAAAACTATAAAAAATAACTTCTCTTGGTAGTGCTTTTAAGTTATACTTAAGAAAAATTATCTTTTTGAGTCATCTTTAATGAGAAAAAAAGTTTATGCTAACAAAACAGTATCAATCAAAAGATGTATCTTACATGCTAACATCTGTACACTATAACGAATGCGTCTGTACATTATTTATTATGATTCGTGATTTATTATTATCATGATTTATAATTGCTGAATTTGAAGTTAGCAAATATTTTAGTGATAAGCCATTTTGAAAATTTTTCCCCTTGTAATCTCACATAATGAAAGATTTCGGTAGTTTTTCGACATTTTGTCCTGAATCTCAAACTTTTACTGATTTTTTGGACTTTCTCATATAAAAATAAAAGTTTTAAGGTAAGATGTACCTAATATCAATTAAAACAGTCGCAATTGCAAAGTAGTTAAAGTACTGAGCTGTTTCTGGGAAGCACTTGAGTTCGATTTCCAGTCACGACTTGAAGCCCACCCAGTTTCAGATTTAGGAGAACAAGCTTATTTGAGGAGAAAATCGGTACGCAATGCTGAACAGAGTGACACAATCATGCCGTTGGTCACGAAATTGAGGAGCGCAAGCCTTCATAACTCCCCTGATCCGCAGTGGGTCAGCTGCGGGGAGTGCCTTACAAATATTTCTGAAATATGTTGTAAAATTCAGTAGTAAAAACATGTTGTAAAAACATGTAGTTAAAATTACAAATCACAAGTCCTTAAAAATTATACATGCAAATTTTATGTTGTTTAAATTTATTTTTATTCAATGACTAAAAAAATTGAATAAATCTCTATTCAGTTAAGCATGTGTAACAGAAAAAATATATTTATTTTGCTTTTTTTTTCTTACTGTGTTCGGTAATCCAGCTTTTTTTTACTTTTTTATTTTATTTTATTTTATTTTATTTAAAGTTAACAGATGTTTTAAGAAAAGGAGTCACAGCAGTTTTCTCCGATTTGTTTGTTTGCTTTTTAGAAATAAAAATAAAATTTGATTTAAAAAATTAATCGGCTGATGTTGTGATAAATTGCAGCTCTCACTACCTTTCTGCAGATTATTGCAGCATTGGTTACGGAACTTATAATAACAGAATAAAGGTTAACAAAATAAAGGTTATTTTGATATTTTTATTCAATGACTAAAAAATTTGAAAAAATCCCTATACAGTTAAGCATGTGTAATAGAAAAAATATCTTTATTTTTGTTCTTATATTTACGATATCTTTATATTTACGATGCTCTGTAATTCTTATAATAACAAAATAAAGGTTATTAAGAAAATAAAGGTTATTAACAAAATAAAGGTTATTTTGATATTTTTATTCAATTTTCCTAAAAAATTTGAATAAATCCCTATACAGTTAAGCATGTGTAACAGAAAAAATATCTAAGTTTTTGTTTGTTTGCGGTGCTCTGTAATTCTTATAATAACAAAATAAAGGTTAACAAAATAAAGGTTATTAACAAAATAAAGGTTATTAGGAAAATAAAGGTTATTAACAAAATAAAGGTTGTTTTGATATTTTTATTCAATGACCAGGAAATTTGATTAAAAACTTATACAGTTAAGCATGTGTAACAGAAAAAATATCTTTATTTTTGTTTATTCACGGTGTTCTGTAATTCAGCTTTTTTATTTTTTTTTTATATTTAAAGTTATGAGATGTTTTAAAAAAAAGGAGTCACAGCAGTTTTCACCGATTTGTTTGTTTGCTTTTTAAAAACAAAATTAGATTTAAAAAATTAATCTGCAGATGCTGTGATAATCTGCAGCTCTCACTACCTTTCTGCAGATTATTGCAGCATCGGTTACAGGACTTATAATAACAAAATAAAAGCTAAATGAAATAAAGTAAGGCATAAAATAAAGATTTATCAGTTATTTGACATTCACGGAATGAAAGAAGCATTGGAAATTAAAAATCATTCGTAAGTAGTAAAAGGGTCTTTATCAGGCAATGTACAAACATAAAACTATCAATAAAATTCTCCCATAAGGTTTTTTTTTTCTGTTAGTGGACTCTTTTTGGCAAAAAAGTATAATTAAAAAAGAAATGACAAAATCGTAAAAGCAAAATAGTTGTCATGAAACAAAAAAAATCGGTTAAGTGCTGTATCATAATATCGGAAACTTGTACTTTAGTTCAGTGCAAATTTGCTGCGACCTTAATAAAATGTAAAATTGAAATTTGCTTCTGTTTATGTAGAACTATACTATAGTGTGATGTAATGAAGTTTAATATGGATTAATTTGCACGAAAATATGGTCCAACTTGTCACCTTATTAAAATTGTTGCAAATTACAGCGATATTACGGAACAACGTGATTCTAAATGTCTAACAGTATGTAAAGTAAAGCAAAAGTAACCTTTATCGAAACAAAAGAAATCTTACGTCTGTATATAAAGTTAATTTTTTTTTCATTAGTATAAACAAGAAAATATCAACAAGCATAAAGCATTTTACTACTTATTAACATTTTTGCAGTGATTGTAATATTGTTTTTTGAGTAAAATCTAATATTCATGACAATATACATGCAGGCATTTTATACAACAGGTAATACGGCCTTTTTACTCAAAATTTTTGAAGAAAGTCGCAAACATTCTTTTCTTATTGCTTGCACAAGTCAGGATGAGATGCCAAACGTGTCTCGTTATCAGATATCTATAAAATAATAAAATAAAAATAATAACACTTAAGATAATAACAAATTATAAAAGATAATTAACATACTAGAAGCTAAAAACACGCATGACTTTATAGGTCTTTTAAAACATTTGACAAGTTCTACTTTTAACAGTGATATTTCAAGTAAAGGAAAAAAATATATTTATAATTACCACTATCATAAAATTCAAAAAATAATGCTAAGTTTAGGATAGACAGAAATGTTTTTTTTTTCAATCAAAGTAAAAGTTTCAAGAATAGGGATATAAAATACGTGTATACACATTTTAAATTTTCTTATTTGTACTCAACATATTTTGAGCAAACAAAAAGGAAATTTTCAGGAACAAGATATGAAAAAAAAGAAAAAAATTTTTAAATTCAACTTATAAATGGCTCTTTCTCCCTCTCTCCCTCTCTCTTTATTTTCAAAGTAAGTTGGCCACCCAATGCAGTAAAGGAAAAGTGAAGTTAAAATATGGAAAATGACATATTTCCTACTGTTAAACATTTAAAACTTACGACGTAAAAAATAAATTTTATCATGGCGAATACGCAAAAAAGAATTTAAGAAAACAAAATCGAATTTATAGATTTAATAAACGTTTTTTAAAATATTTTGCAATAGCATTTGAATCAGCATTTATCCACGCGTCTATTATCATTAAACTTACGTCTAAAGGAATAAAATTTGACTCGCCGGCAGTGGTCAACTTATGTCTGACACACCAGAAATTCGCCATCTCGTAATCAAAAATAGCGGGTCGACTTGTACACCGGAGATATACGGTAGCTCTTTTCGTAATTTTGCTGATGGAGAAATACTCATGCATCATGCTTTTCAGACAAATCTTTGGCAAACTTTTGGTTAACGAATCTGAAAAATTGGCTGAAGGATATTGGAAACATTAAGAACGCCCAATTACTGAAATATTGTTAATTTTAACATGATCTATTTGTAAATTTTCTTACTTCTAAAACAGAGAAAACGAAAAAAAAGGAAGAAAAATGTATTAAAAATACGAAACATAGTTATATAAGTAAATATTCTTTATTTAGGTCCGATACACAGGTTACAGAGACAGACCTATGGATGAAAGAAGAATAAAATTTAAAACATCGTGTAAAGAAGGCTACACAGAAATTGTAAGTTTTTAATTTTTTTTCTTTTTTTTCATAATAATAAAAACAACTTCTCAGAGTTAACTTTTCCTTTCCTTTTATTGCTAATATCTTATGCTTATGTGATGCATATGGAGCCATTGATTTTAAAGTCAGTTAAATCTCTATTTATTTTCTGAATTGTTATTACTATTATTATTTATTTATTTTTTAAGTTTCATTTCGGCTTTTTAAATCTTAGAACAATTACGATTCAAATTCGGTAATCCANAAGAAAGTTTTTCACTTTTTTGTCCCTCTGTAACACTTCTAAATAGAAAAACAAGCTTATTGTGAATCAAAACCAAACACTTGCTATTTTTTTAAACAATCTAGTCTAAATCGGGAAATTTTGTAATAATTTTTTTTATTAAAAATTAGCAATTAATGCTTACCCAGTTATAAAATGATGTATTAAATTATATTTACTTAGTTATTAAATGTTTTTTCTAATGATATTTATAAAATAGCCAAATAATGTTTCTTTTCCTTCTGCTTTACATGAAAACGAAAGCATTTCCAAAACAATCTTAAAATAGCCATGGATCTTTTTTATTAACACGTGCATGTAGAGATACACGTATATTCTAAATTGAAAACCAGAAGCTCAAATTAACAGTCCTTTGTTCAAATCTGTAAAAATAATATTTAAATATCTATGAAATGATAAATAAAATGATATTTACTTGGTTATTAAATATTTTCTGTAAAGTCATTAAATGGTTATAAAATAAACAAGTGATGATTCTGTTCCTTCGAAATTTACCAGAAAACGAAAGCGTTTTCAAAAATTATCTTAAATTAACCATACATTATTTTTTCAACAAGTTAATGTAAAAGCATGTATATTCTAAATTGGGAATCAGAAGCTTGTTGTTTTTAGTAATCCTAAGGCTAAAACGAAAAATTTTTGCATTAAATTGTTTCATGATTACAAATAAAAATTATCAAATAATATTTACATAGCTATCAAATAATATATAAAATTCTTATCTGATTATCACATGTTATTTTTTCTTCATATATAAAATTATTGAGCGATATTTATGAAATTACTAAAAGAATGTTTCTTTTACGTGAAAGAGCAAATATCATAAGTAAACTATTAATATCGTTTTTTTTCTTCTCTTTTTTAAACTTTTTTTAATAGAAATGAAAGGAAATATAGGCTTAAAATTAAATTAATGAGTGGTAGGTTTTATTTGTATTTTCTTTAAATGCTCTGAAAATAGTTCCACCTCCTTCTTATATTTTAAATTATGTCTTACTGATAAAAAAAAATTATAGGAAATTGGAAAGCAAACTACAATTAAAAAATTCATAACCCAAAACAGTCATTTAGAATATTTCGAAAATGAAATAAGTTAATAAATAATATATATGACTATAAATATTTTCAAATTGTGTCTGAAAATAAAACAAATATCTCTGATTTTTATAGGCTATAAACATCGAGGAATCAATTAATGATGGCTTTTCTACAATTATTACAGACAAAAGTTAAAAATCTATGAACGATTTCAGATCGGATAATGTTGCCGTTTAAATGTGAGATTTTGAAATTTTTACGATTGTCTTTATTATTAAGATTTCATTTAGGAATATACCATCTAATACCTGAAGAAGAAAAAAAAATTATAATTGCAGCAAAATACACGTTGAACATTTTTCTTTCAAGTTTTAATATCTCTTTAACAGGATCAAAATAATTTGCGAGTGATTTTTTTACAATATTTTATTATTTTTAAATATTAATTAGTTTTGTTTTACTCATCTGATTGCTCATTTTGTGTAGGCTTTCATCAGTACTGGAATAAATTTACAACTTTTGTTTGGGTCGTGCAATAACGGATGTCAGAATAAGTGTGAATTTGATTTCTCAAAGGGAAAAGTAAGTTTAAATTTGTATTTGTTTATTTTACCTCATAAGCCTCCTGTCACACTTAGCTTTAAATTCCTTAGAATATAAAATTGCAAAATAATGTTACACTCGCGAAAAAATTCTGATCGTCGTATACTGCACCACAAATTATATAGGCTCATACGATACTTATCTCGTTTTCACATTTACTAATATGCCGATTTCACAAATTAAAATTAAGTTTTTTTTTGTTTTGAATCCCGAATTGAACAGTTTTTGGGTTTGGAACCCATTTTTGGGTTTACGACTATCAATGTTCAATTTCGTAATTTCGTAACCCTGTAATCTTGAGCGAAACTCAGAGGACAAAGGAACTACTGGATCAAGCATTTGGATAAACCAGCTTCCATGGAAGCTATGGAATCACCCCGCATTTGTGCTACATGGAGACGAAGACCACGATAATCTCTTACGGTGATTCTAATCCATGATCTGGCAACGACTGAGGATATTTAACGTCTGCACTATGATTGGTGTAAGCCGAGAGTAGAATTCGTATGGACCTGCCATCGATGGGATTCGAACCCTGGGTACCTCATTGAAAGGCGAGCGCTCTATCCCTCAAGCTACGGCGGCTTAAATAAAACATATAAATGAAAAATAATCGGTCGTCATAGCAACAAAAATATTAAATAACCATTTCCAGTGCTATTAGAAAAATTTAAAGTTTTTTTTGTGATTGAATTGTTATTATTAAATTCGTTATTATTTGATACAATTAAACGTTTATTATTATTTGTTTTCTAAAATTATTTTGTTATTATTGAGATAATTAAGGAGGCTAACTGTCAGCCTTACAGAATAACTCATTTTATTAAGATAAAAGTCTCAAATTTGGATCCAATAAAAGGAAAAACTCGAAAGTTTAATTTCGATTTTTTTTCTTTTAATACTTCGTTGCAATTTGATGGCAATTATCCCAAGTGAAAGTTATGCTAAGTAACAGTTTACCAAAAAAATAGAAGTCTCAAATTTTGACCCCGTGTTTCTTATCAGATAGAAACTCAAATAGATTCAGTTGGATATTTTGAATCGTTTATAGTGTTGAGAGAATGATATCCGCCAACAGTATCCAAAATTAAGTCTATTTAATAGCAAACCAGCAGACACCGAAAGTGGAAAATTCTTAGATAAAAAGTAAAAAAGGAAAGAGATTAAATCGTCGATATATAAGATTGAGTTGTAAAATTTAGTAAATCAGTAATATCTCCACCAGGTAATTTTTTACCAGGTGGAGAAATAATAAACAATTCTCAGTGTGCAAAATAAAGAAAACGGAACACAGTAAATAACTGTTGTTCTAATAATCCGATCTTCATCCTAGGGCTCAAACTTAATGATTAGAGAGGTTGAGTTTAAATGCGCTATTTAATTCGTGAAGACGATATTTTATGTTACGAAATCAGAGGCAAAAACGTATTTTCTCTGAATAAACAATCCTTTTCTTTCGACAGATTCGGATTTCTAACCCTTAAAATATCGGGGGTAACCACAATCTGCGAAATATGGTCCCAATAGTTTGGTCAGGAAAACTGTTCAAAGTTTGAACCCCTTAATGTTAATTTTACTTTTTGCGTATTTCTCTGTATCTCGAGAATTTTTTAAGTGAATTAAAAAGTTTTTACAAACAATGGTAAATTATTTTATCCAAAGATAATTCCATGCAACAAAAAAATAATATTAACTTTTAGTAAGCTTGAATAATCTTTTTATTATTTTATTTAATTATAATAAAAAAAACTTAAACTGTAAGTTATACAATCCTTTTTTATATTACTTTAAATGATATAATTTTACCAGGCAAAACATAAAACTTGGGTGTAATCGGTGGAATAATAATTCTTCTGAAATAGAATGTTTTTTTTTTAAAGAAATCATATTATTAGATTAAAAGTCATTTAGGTTGGACTGCTTTTTTATTTTCGCGCACTGTGCAGTAAAATACTTATGAATAAAAATATACATAATGTGACAAAGGATTTAAACTATCTATACCGGTACAATTCATTGTAACTTAAAAAAGAATTATAATAATAAAAATATTAAAAAGAGAAAAAGTTTATATTTTTTTAATAACTAGATTGGTGAAACACGACAAATGGATATGTAGCATTTCCACAAAACTGAAGGAAATGATGGGACATAATAGCTACAGTCTGTGGCAAATATAATTAGTAGTTTCCAAGTAAATGTGTGGGTGACTGTATTTTTTTTAAAACAGTGAGTCCCCCATAATATTTGGTCACGTTCTTAACATTATAGTCCTGCAAATAGGCTGCTTGAAAGGACCAACCCGTGGAGAACAAAAGTTTTACCATCTGATACACCCTAGGTGGTCCTGAGATTGTATTTTGACGCGACGCCCTTTAGAAAGGTGTCGGTTGAGTACATCCTAAACTAAGCGTTCGTAAAAGAGCCGATTCCCAAGAAACTTTTAAACCAATATAAAAGTTTTAAATTTTTAAAATATCCTGTTTTAAATGCCATTTTATTCTGATATTATTACTTTGTTTTTCTCTATATTGTTTTGTTTGTTAATTTAGAAAATATCTTTTCCGGTAGCGAAGATATAAGGACAAAAGTTCTAACCTATTTCTTACACGAATTATAATTTAAAATTTTAAAATTTTGAATTTATTTATTTTGAATTGTCTTGATTACTATTTTATTAAATGTAATCAAAAAATAATTTTATGAGAAAGGAAATCAAAATAGCTCTAAACTGAATGGGTTTCAAAAATTTAAAGTTGTTCTGTCTTCGTGTTTTAAGAAAGGGGAGTTTAGCTGAAAAAATTATGTATTGTAAGGCCTTTATTGACTTTGTAAGATGGCTCTGGGAAGGTCATTAAAATCATATTTAGAAAAGCTAAAAATAATCTTAAATTAAAAGTAACATTCATAATTTGCTTGAGGTTTAATAATAACTTTTATTTTCATAATATTCTTTATTGTTTTGAAACTTACAATTTATAACTTATTCATATAAATTTTTTGAGATATGTATTCAGCACTAATTGCAAAAATTAATAGGATAATTAAATTGAAATCATTTTTCAGTAAATACATATGCTAAACTAGTAACAGCTAATTTCAGATTAAATTAAAATGAGTTATTCTGATATAAAGATGCTAACAACCAACACACCATTAGAATTTTTATTCTAAAACTACAGTAAAACAACCGGCTGCAGTGCGTCGATCCAGTTAACCATAAAGTTTACGGTTATGAACATTTTTATACCTTTACGAGTTTAAAAAAGTTTTTAGCTGGTTATGGTTAAAAGAGAAAACCGGGAATACAAAACCATACGGTTTTGTAACCATTTACTACTAGCAGGGTTTCAAAACCGTAAAAATAAACTTTAAATGGACATAGAAATTAGGTTGTGTTAAACTTATTTGTGTACGGCACCTAGACTATATGTGGCCTAGCTCCCAAAGCCGGACCTGTATTGTTCAAAGACGTACAGTGTTCCCATCATTGTCAGCAAACCATCGCTCCAGGAATTTTACTTTCCATCTGAGAAGTAATGAAATCGCTCTTCGAATTTTCAGTATTCGTCTCAGGTTCCCTGTAAAGATGGCTCAGGCTTAAGCCCCGATTTACGTTAGGTATTGGGCATAAGAGTTCGATTGTGATTGAGTTGTTTTTTGTCAAGTGAACCATGGAATGTGGCTTAATTAGTTTATTTTGGGATGCCATGTATTGAGAGAGATGAAAAATACTAGACTTTTTTTTTCAGTTAAGCAGCTTTATATTACTGCCAGTTAAGCGTGAGTGAGAGTTTCTTATTCCAATTGTCAAAGATCACCAATTGAGAAGTGCAGGACACTGGAAACTTCTTATATGCTAGGGGATTGGAGGAAATATTGTGGTGTTAACGCTAGGATTCGAATCTCAGTACAGTTGGTCATGACATTGACAAATTAGCCCCTCTAACCTGAAGTATGTATCCAGCTCTTAGGAACTAATAAGTAGCCTCATAAAGTGTTTACCATACATTTATTACTATAAAATTGTTAGGCATCCACTCATAGAAAATCAAAACAGAAATTCGAAATCCTTATCACATGGCTTCACTTCCAACTTTACCAAGAACGTAAACTCGACTCTTATTGGCTATGAAACTAGTTGGCGTGCATAAAATTCCGGTTGTTTAACTCTGTTTTTCGGGGTTTTAGAACAGATAAATAACTTATATATTTTAAAAGTTATTAAACTGCTTCAGAAACCACCAATTTGACTACATTTTTCCACCTAAATGAAAATTATCAAAATCACTGCTTTATTCTCTATTTTTCCAATTTTTTATGAGCCATGGAGAGGCTAATGTCAGGAAATGCAGCAGTGGAGTAAGTTTTTAAATATTAAAAAATTCGACCACAAAAAATCACTTTTCATTTCTACAAAACTGTTGCTTTTCTCTATTTACATTTTGTGACAGTTTTAAACTAAGCGTAGACAGCGCTAGCTTTAGATAGGCTAAATTTGACCTAACAATCATGAGTAACAGTTGCAAATTCACAGCAGTTATAAAAATAGCATATAATTCGCAAAAAAGCATAATTTCATTTTACAATGGAGCCTTCGATAGAATAGCCTTTGAGAGCATTACGTGAAAACAGTCTGTGTACAGTTTCTGCTTCTGTTAAAAGTTCGTATACCATCTTCTTTATGGATATTTGACCTGTTTGGGTTTACTATGGCAATAAATTGTTTTTCAACCATTTTTCTAGAGAAATTTTTAACTGTGCAGTCAACATCTGATTGATTCGAACTTAATTTTTATAAGATTCATTCATAAAAAATACTGGAAGTTAATATTGGATTGAATTTAAATTAGTTTTCAGGAGTTTTCTTTGAAAACTACTAGTAGCCAATATCTGGTTTAACTAGTATTAATTTCTATGAGATATACATGAAGAAAATAAAACTAATAGCTTATATTAGATTGAATTGGAAATAATTT